AGAATTATTGAGTAATGTCGTAGGAATTGTAATTTTTTAATGAATATCAAAATAAACGAATCTTCGTAGTTTTAGTGTAATTCATTATTTATCCTCACTCTATACTTTTGTATAATTGTAAAAAAAAAAATAGAAATTCACATTTTTATTTTTACATATTTCCTTTTTATTATTTTATTAAAATTACATTCATTATTTATTATAGTAATAGTAATAAATATGAGAAAAAAAAAAGAAACTCTTTTTTTTTTTTTACTAGGAATAGGAATTTGGTTATTGGTCCATTTTCAGTTTGTACTTAGTAATATTCGAATGGAACAAAGATTCAGAACAATTAATGTAATTCTATTTCTAGATTCACTTCTTTTATTAACCGACCCTTTTCTTTACAAAAGAGATGAAACAAAACTGACGAATAAGAAACAAAATTCATTAAGAATCCAATCCATTTGTTTTGTTTTTGTATGGAATATACACATCAATCTTCATGGATCATACCTTTCATTCCATTTCCAGTTCCTATGTTAATAGGAGTGGGATTTCTACTTTTTCCGACGGCAACAAAAAATCTTCGCCGTATATGGGCTTTTCCTAGTATTTTTTTATTAACTATAGTTATGATTTTTTCGATTGATCTGTCTATTTATCAAATCAATAAGGGTTCCATCTATCAATATGTATGGTCTTGGACCATAAATAATGATCTTTCTTTAGAGTTTGGATACTTGATCGATTCACTTACTTCTATTATGTCAATTTTAATTACTACTGTTGGCATTCTGGTTCTTATTTATAGTGATAATTATATGTCTCATGATCAAGGATATTTGAGATTTTTTGCTTATATTACTTTTTTTAATATTTCAATGTTGGGTTTAGTTACTAGCTCGAATTTGATACAAATTTATATTTTTTGGGAATTGGTTGGAATGTGTTCTTATTTATTAATAGGTTTTTGGTTCACACGTCCTATTGCAGCAAATGCTTGTCAAAAAGCATTTGTAACGAATCGTATAGGAGATTTTGGTTTATTATTAGGAATTTTAGGTTTTTATTGGATAACGGGTAGTTTAGAATTTCGGGATTTGTTTCAAATAGTCAGTAATTTGATTTATAAAAATGAAGTTAATATTTTTTTCTTACTTTATCCGCCCTCTTGTTATTTTGTGGCTCAGTTGCTAAATCTGCCCAATTTCCCCTTCATGTATGGTTACCAGATGCTATGGAAGGACCTACTCCCATTTCCGCTCTTATACATGCTGCTACTATGGTAGCGGCGGGAATTTTTCTTGTAGCTCGACTTCTTCCTCTTTTCATAGTTCTACCTTACATAATGAATGGAATAGCTTTTATAGGTATAATAACAGTAGTCTTAGGAGCTACTTTAGCTATTGCTCAAAAAGATATTAAGAAAGATTTGGCCTATTCCACAATGTCTCAATTGGGTTATATGATATTAGCTCTAGGTATGGGATCTTATCGAGCCGCTTTATTTCATTTGATTACTCATGCTTATTCAAAAGCATTGTTATTTTTAGGATCTGGATCCATTATTCATTCAATGGAAGCTATTGTTGGATATTCTCCAGCTAAAAGTCAAAATATGGTTCTTATGGGTGGTTTAACAAAACATGTGCCAATTACAAAAACTGCTTTTTTAATAGGTACACTTTCTCTTTGTGGTATTCCACCTTTTGCCTGTTTTTGGTCCAAAGATGAGATTCTTAATGATAGTTGGTTGTATTCACCAATTTTCGCAATAATAGCTTGTTCCACAGCAGGATTAACTGCATTTTATATGTTTCGGATCTATTTACTTGTTTTTGAAGGATATTTAAACATTCATTTTCTAAATTTCAATGGAAAAAAAAATAATTCATTCTATTCAATATCTTTATGGGGTAAAGAAGAAAAAATAAAAAACAAAATTTATTTATTAGCTTTATTAAGAATGAAAAAGAATGAAATGACTTCTTTTTTTCTGAAGAAGACATATTCACATCGAATTCATCGAAATGTCAAAAGCATAACACGTCTTTTTTTTGATAGTACCCATTTTTTTGGTACTAAAAAAACTGCTTGTTTATATCCTCACGAATCGGACAATACTATGCAATTTTCTATGCTTGTTTTAGTATTGTTTACTTTTTTTGTTGGGGCCATAGGAATTTCTTTCAGCCAAAAAGGAATAGATTGCGATATATTATCAAGATTATTAATTCCGTTTATAGACCTTTTACATCAAAATTCAAAAAAAATTCAGGATTGGTATGAATTTTTTACAAACGTAACTTTTTCTGTGATTCTAACGTTTTTCGGAATATTTATAGCGTCTTTTTTTTATAAACCGGTTTTTTCAGATTTACTAAATTTGAATTTATTCAATTTATTTGAAAAAAGTGTTCCCAAACAAATTCTTGCCGATAATATAATAAATGTCTTATATGATTGGTCATATAATCGTGGTTATATAGATGCTTTTTATGAAATATCTTTAATT